CTTAAATATCTAATCTTACAGAAAAAAATTACTTGGGTTTATTGGGAAAATATAAGTTCATGGGATTTATTCCAAAAGTAGAAATAAAAGCAAGATACTATTAACAAGAGCCACCATTTATTAAACATCTACTATGCACTGAACAGAACCAGATACTACAGATTTCCTATATTTCTTATAATAACCCTTAAAGCTAGATATTAATTTCAGCCCCCTGAATTGAAAAAAAGTTGGAACTCAAAAGTTAAATAATTAGCCCAAGATCATAAAACTAGGAAGTGGCACCCCTGGATTTGAGTCCAAGTTTGTACAACACCAAAGCCCTTGCGGTCTCTAGTGCATTATGCTAGTGTCATACTGTTTTGATTAGTACAGCACAAAAATTGTGGTAAGATTATTCCTTTAAATTTTTTATAAAGAGGGCAGCCCCGGTGATGCAGCGGTTTAGCGCAGCCTGCAGCCCAGGGTGTGATCCTGGAGACCCTGGATCGGGTCCCACGGGTCCCACGTTGGGCTCTCTGCATGGAGCCTGCTTCTCCCTCTGCCTGTGTCTCTGCCTCTCTCTCTCTCTGTCTCTATGAAAAAATAAATAAAATCTTTAAAAAAATAAAAAAATTAAAAAAATAAAATTTTTATAAAGAGTGCTATAAGAGTTTTTGTAACATGTTGAAGGGTACTCTAGTAAAATCATAGTACAAACCATGGTACACAGTACACATGCAAAAAGAAATCCTTTATAAAAGAGACAACTACAGTATTTGGTGTTAATCACTATTTAAAATTTTAGCCATTCTAGTAGGTGTACGGTGATATCTCATTATGCTTGTAATTGCACTTCCCTGATGGTTAACAATGTTGAACATTTTTTCTTTCTTTTTTTTTTAAGATTTTATTTATTCATGAGAGACACAAAGAGAGAGAGAGAGGCAGAGACACAGGCAGAGGGAGAAGCAGACTCCCTGTGGGGAGCCCGATGTGGGACTCCATCCTGGGAGCCCAGGATCATGCCCTGAGCCGAAGGCAGACGCTCAATCGCTGAGCCACCCAGGTGTCCCTGTTGAACATTTTCTTAAAGTTATATTAATAATCAATATTATAGCTCTCTCTTTACTTCTCTATTATCAATGATAAATTTTACTCCCTTCAGAAAATGCTGTTACATTTAGCACCTTTGGTCAGCAGTTTACATATAGCTTTGTGGGGAGAGAATAGTCATAGGGAAACATTATTTATGGGACGAATAGTAAAGGTATAAAGTTAGATTAGAAATAAAATTAGTAGTAGCTTTTAGTAAAAATGGACATTTCCATAACATTTTTGGAAAATGATACATTTTGGAAGAGGACTATGCTGAAATTCAGAAGATTTTGTATTTTTGCATCCAAGGAATAGGATCCCAAAACACAAGGTGCAATGAAGCAGAGCTGAGGAGGTTCTAGCATTACTTCTCATACCAGTGATAACAAGAAAAATTTCTAATTATCAGCTGAGCAAGGGCTGATTTATTAATGTTTGCTTCAGTAATATTTCAGATTTCATGGAAGAAATTATGACCAGGAAAAATGGCAACATTTTCCCCAGTTTTATAGAGATATAATTGACCTCTAACATGGTATATAGGTCATAAAGTGTACAACACAATTATTTGATATATGTACATATTGTGAAATGATCACCTCTAGTTAGCATCCATCACCTCATATAGCTAAAAATTTTTCTTGTGACAAAATGCTCTTTCGAATATACAATATAGTACTGTTAACTATACTCGACCATGCTGTATATTATACCCCTAGAACTTGTCTCAACTGGAAGTTCGTACCTTTTGACCACCTTCACCCAATTCCCTACCCCCTGCCTCTGGCAACCACCAATCTGTTGTTTCTGAGTTTGGTTTTTCTAGATTCCACATATAAAGTGAGATCATATAGTTATCTAATCTTTTTCTGTTTGCTATGTCCCTTAACAATAATGCCTTCAAGGTCTACTTATTTGGCCACAAATGACAGGATTTCCTGCTTTTTTGTGGCTAAACAGTATTCCATTCTCTATATATGCCACATCTTCTTATCCATTTGTACATTGATGGGACACTTAGGTTGTTTCCATATCTTGACTATTGTAAATAAACCTGCAATGTATGGGGGTGGGGGTGGGGCAAAAATCTCTTTGGGATAATGATTTTGTTTCCTTCAGGTAAGTATCCAGAGTGGAATTGCTGGATCATCATATGGTAGCCCTATTTTTAATTTTTTTTTTTTTTATGATAGGCACACAGAGAGAGAGAGAGGCAGAGACACAGGCAGAGACACAAGCAGGCTCCATGCACTGGGAGCCCGACGTGGGATTCGATCCCGGGTCTCCAGGATCGCGCCCTGGGCCAAAGGCAGGCGCCAAACCGCTGCGCCACCCAGGGATCCCTATTTTTAATATTTTGAGGAAACTTCATGCTGTTTTTCTAGTGCCTGCATCAATTTACATTCCCATCAGCAGTGAATAAGAGTTCCCTTTTCTGCATATTCTCATCAACATTTATTAGCTCCTATCTTTTTTAGTAAGTCATTTTAACAGGTGTGAGATTTTGATTTGCATTTCCCTGATGATTAGTAATGTTGAACACCTTTCCAGGTACCTGTTGGCCACCTGAATATCTCCTTTGGAAAAATGTCTATTCAGTTCCTTTGCCCACTTTTAATTGGATGTTTTTTTTTTTTTTTTTTTTTTTTTTTTGCTATTGAGTTGTAGGAGTTCCTTGTATCTTTTGGATATTAGCTCCTTATCAGATACATTATTTGCAAATACTTATTTCTAATCTAGAGGCTGCCTTGCATTGTTGTGCAGAAGCTTTTTAATTTGATGTGGTCCCACTTGTTTATTTTCACTTTTGTTGCCTTTGGTGCTTCTGGTGTCATATCCAAAAAAAAGATCATTGACATGAACAAGGTCAAGAAGTCTTTTCCCATTTTATTCTAGGAGTTTTGTGGTTTCACATTTATGTTTTTAAATCCATTTTGAGTTAACTTTTGTGAGTGGTGAAAGACAGAAGTGGTTTCATACTTTTGCTTGTGAACATCCATTTTCCCAGCCTCTGTTGAGTATTCTTGGCTCCCTCATCAAATATTAGTTGATTGGATCAACTAATCCAATATCCTCTGTTGAGGATATCCTCTGTTGAGTATTCTTGGCTCCCTCATCAAATATTAGTTGATTGGATATGTATGGGTTTATTTTCTAGGCTCTCAATTCTGTTCCATTGGTCTATGTTTATGCTAGTACCATACTGTTCTGATTAGTATAGCACTAGATTATGGTTGGAGATCAGCAAATGTGATGCCTCTAGCTTTGCTCTTCTTCCTCAGTATTGCTTTTGGCTATTTTGTTAACAGTGCTGAACATCTTTTTAGCGTGCTTAATCAGCTGTAAATATTTTTCAGTGAAATGTCTGTTCATGTCTTTTGCCCATTTTCTAATGGATTTTTCAGGCTATTGAGGGTCAGTTTCTTTATATATTCTAAATGCTACTCTCTTGTCAGCTATGTAGTTTGCAAATATTTCCTTCTAGTCTGTGGCTTGACTTCCCATCCTCTTCTTGTAGGCTTTTGTAGTTTTAAATTTTGGTTTAGTCCAGCTTATCAATTTTCCCTTTAATGGATTATGCTTTTGGTTGGTATCAAGTCTTAAGAAAGAACCCTTTGCCTAGCCAAAAATCATGAAGATTTTCTATTTTTTCCCTTAGAAGTTTCATAGTCTTACATTTAAGTACAGGATACATTTGAGCTCATTTTTGTATAAAGTATGAGGTTCGGGGATCCCTGGGTGGCGCAGCAGTTTGGTGCCTGCCTTTGGCCCAGGACGCGACCCTGGAGACCCGGGATCGAATCCCACGTCGGGCTCCCGGTGCATGGAGCCTGCTTCTCCCTCTGCCTATGTCTCTGCCTCTCTCTCTCATTCTGTGTGACTATCATAAATAAATAAAAAAAAAATAAAGTATGAGGTTCAAGTTGAGGTTATTTTTGTTGTTGTTGAAATGGCTACCTTAGCCTCTACTGAATTGCTTTTGCTCTTTGTTCAAAAATCCATTGAGTGGGGATCCCTGGGTGGCGCAGCGGTTTGGCGCCTGCCTTTGGCCCAGGGCGCGATCCTGGAGACCCGGGATCGAATCCCACGTCAGGCTCCCGGTGCATGGAGCCTGCTTCTTCCTCTGCCTGTGTCTCTGCCTCTCTCTCTCTCTCCCTGTGTGACTATCATAAAAAATAAAAATTAAAAAAAAAAAGAATTTATTAAAAAAAAATCCATTGAGTGTATTTGTGTGTCAATTTCTGGGTTCTTTATTCTGTTCCAGTCATCTATGTGTCTTTTTACCAATACCACACTGTCTTCATTACTGCATTAATCAAGGGCTGCCTAATAAAGTATCACAAATAGGGTGCCTGGTGGTTCAGTCAGTTAAGTGTCTCACTCTTGGTTTTGGGCTCAGGGCATGATCTCAGGGTCATGAGATGGAGCTCCGTGTCAGACTCTGCGATCAGCAGGGAGTCAGCTTGAGATTCTCTTCCTCTTGCTCTCCCTCTGTTCCACCCCTGCTTGCACGCGAGTGTGTGCTCTCTCTCTAAAATAAATAAATCTTTTTAAAAAAATAAAGTATCACAGACTAGGTGGTTTAAAACAGACATTTATTTTCTCCCAGTTCTGTAGATTAGAAGTCCAAGATCAAGGTGCTGGTAGAGTTTGTTTCTGTTGAGGGTCTTTCTTCTTGACTTGTAGATGACTGCCCTCTCGCTAATCTTCGCAGTATTCCTTCTGTGCCTGTCTGTATTCTAATCTCTTCTTATAAGGGCCTAGTCATATTTGATTAGGACCCACTCATATCACTTCACTTTACCTTAGTTTTAGAAATATGGTACTTGTGGCAAGATTTACTATTTTACCAGATTGCTTAAGAATGTTAGTGGCTGTAATATCTACTGCAAACTTGCAGAATAAACACGAAACATCTCAAGTAATTTAAAAAAGTTTATTTATCATCCCAAACTGATTATATATTATAAATTCTGATCAAAATAATAATATTAAAGGTATTTTCAGTAGTACCACAAACTACCTGTACCTGAAGATAAAATCAAATAGTCAACTGGTAAGGATACATTGAAATTTACCCATGTTTAAAATATCACTTTGTTTAAAAAATTCACATACATGTTTTTCTGGTTTTGAATTAGAAGGGACACACAAATAGCTATATATGGTCTTCATTTAACAAACCCATGCTCTGAATGAGTCATCAAAAGACTACAAAATCTTGTAATTTTCTTTAATGGCACATGAGACAGTACATTGTTTTATAAAACAAAATACAGTACTTCTAATTCTCTTCATACACCTTTTCAACCCCACTGTGAGAGCTGCTCATAAGTGTATAGCAGCCTGGTTGAGTAATGGGTTCCTACATCATCTCTATATTGGGTTGTGTTGGGGGATGGCAAGAGGGACATTCTAACCCAGAAGTTCTGAAAATACAGAAGCACAGATTTCTCATTAGAAAAATGTATACTTGCTTACTTTAGTACGGGTTCTGTAAAAAGCTATCACTATTGAATCGTTCTGTTTGACTTATAAACTATAATTAGATTTTAGTTTGTGCAGAGAAGCTTAAAATAGCTTAAAACATACTGTTCATTCTTGCCTGAAACAGAAACACAAATTTGATGAAAGAAGGTGGAAATGAGTATTTTCGATTCTCCTTTACTAAAAGTACTGATAGTTATATGACACTAAGTATTCCAAGTTCTTTCTCTCTGCAAATTGTAACTTATACCTGATTTTGGCTGGGTAGAGATTTAGTAACAAGAAGATGAGGGTTTACCTCTAGAAAAAGCTGGAATGTTGAAATATGAAATAGTCCAGGGCAGAACAAGAATTAAATCTAGGGAGGGAGAGAGAGGGAACTGCTTGGGGCCAAGGAACTATGTAACATAAGGGATCATATAAAGAGACCTTAGGAGACAGTAGCCTGACCAATAAAATGAAAATACTAGTTCTATTTAGAGGAAGAGGCAACTTGGTAATGTCTCTGAATTCATGAACCATACAATTTGTCCTTTAATGCCTTGATATAATGAAACAATTTTTTTCCCTAAGCAAATTCAGTTAGCCACCTCCTGAGTAAGGCTTGTATTCTGAACCATAGTTTCCTTAATCTTATTTGAAGGATTAGAAAAGGGACTTGGAAGTAGGAAATGGAACATTTCTTGAGAACTTACTTAATCCTAGGCCTTAATCCTAGGCACTTTATGTTCCATTTTATCCTACCAAAATTCTAGAAAAGTACACATTTCCCCAATTCACTTATGTGGAAATTGAGGCTGAGAGGTCCTCTACCACAAATCCCACATGACAAAGCTGGGATGCAAACTCAGGCCAAATTCAGAAGTTTGTGGTCTTTTTATACTAATATGCTGACTCCCCTAAGTGAAACATTAGAGGTGACCTACCACAGGTCTCAATGACAGAGGAAGAAGAGGAAAGAGAAATTCCCTCAAAGATATCATTTCATCTGGTCAGGAATTGGGAGTTTTTCCATGGTAATTATTAGAAGTTGAGAATGTGGCACTTTCTCTGACTAGTCTTTGAGGATAAATTTCCCATGGAGATTTATAATATTAAGGATGAAAAAATTGTTCATTTTCCAGAAGGTGAAACTTGGGAGAGTCTCAGAGACATTTGCAGCCTTACTTAGGTCTGTGATACTGGGTAAGGTATTAGGCTAGAGTGTGGGAATTCATTCCAAGTGTGTTTCCCAGATGCAGCTCTGGTCCCCAATCTATAACCCCTGCTTTTCTATGTAACACCTTGCTCTTCTGTCTGCCATCTGAAGCTTTGTAACCATATTAAGACTAGATACAATGGTTTGGGGTCACAAAGAAGAATAGCAATGAGCGAGCACAACTTATCCTCAACTTCTAGTATCCATAAGAGAGTATCAACAAGGGAAGGAGGAAGGATTCTTTGGAAATGAGTGCTTAGCCAATGGTTTCCTGGGAAATTGGAAGGGGTGAAGTAGCAATGGGACACATCTTGAGCTTAAGAGAATCAGGTACTTCTGGACATTAAGAATATCATAATAAAGGCTGATGTCTCCACATAGGAACTATTTCACTGTTTGGAGATATGGCATTTTGCAGATAAAGGTGTGAAGATAGCCTAAGTATTTTGGACAAGAAAGAAATACTCCTTCTTGATCTGTCAGCTCAGGTTCTCAATCTGAGCAGAAAGATATTAAGTGGAGAACAGCAGAAATACCCTGAAACTTACTCCTAAGGCAGAGGTTGACTTCTCTGTCAAGTATCTCAAGCAGAGGTAAAGAAGCTGTGCTGTGATGCAATGAACTAGGAACTGGGCCAAAAGTCATGGAACTCTTAAGTTTTAGATTCAGGTGTTTCTCAAATCACTGCTATAGCTTATTGATTTAGCTATAAAATGAAAGGGATAAAATGAATGTGACCTCTTTTAAGACTCAAGAGCAAGATGATTTTCACTTGAGAGTATACTTGTTTTGGGAGGATGGTGGTAGACATTCTGCCACCTAGTGGTCATATTACAGGGTTTGTAGCTAGGGAATTAAAGAAACTGATTATCCCACTGCTCAGCTTCTTAGAGATGCTTGATTTTAGGAACTGCTGTCATACTACACTTTTATTCCAGGAGCCAGGTATCAGTAGCTGCAGCAGAGGGGAGAAGGCCAAGTGCTCCTTGCTTAAAGAAGGAGTGAGTGACCACCAGGTTGTCAAGGGAGAGGTTATCAATCTTGCCTCTCAGGATCTCTCTGGAGGATATCCAGGGGTACCTAACTTCCAAGTTAATTTAAGAGGTTTTCGCCTATAAACCAGACAAAGTGGACCTGAAAGTAGCCATATCAGGAGAATTATTGGGATACTCAGGTGAAGAAAGAAAAATGATCTTATGAGGTTTGATGGTAGATCCACCTGAACCAAGGTCTCTGGACACTGAGTACAGTTAAGAACTGTCAAGAAGCACAGGATGAATTATGGCTGTATCTGTATCAGAAGCAAGCCTGGCCTTCAGAGTCTGGGGAAAAGCTTTCATTCCCTCAAGTCAGGGTAGGAACAAAGCAAGAGCAGTAACCTGTAAAACCAGAAGGCAGTCAGGGAAGGTATTTCAGCTGCCAGTGGTCTGTGGAGGGAAGGATACAGAATCTCTATGTCTTGGTCAGACATCTCAGGTTTCGGATTATTCAAGACCTTGGACTACAGAGACAGATAAAAAAAAAAAAAAAAAAAACCTAAATAGTGGTGGGTAAGACCTCCACCACCTGGCAAACAGTGGAAGCCTCAATTTGAAATGGTCAGAAATGTGTATTGCACTTTTATATACACTTCTAGATGCTGAGCACAAGCAAATGGTCCTCAGTAAGCAAGGCAGATTTTGCTCAGGAACACTATTATTATCTGATATTTTTTTTCAACCATGAAAAATGAAATTACATTCGGCTTTTTGGAATTTGGGTATGATTTCTGTGGGCTGATTTTCCAGTAAAGAGAGACTGATTACGATGGCCTGTCCTTTGGGGACAAGTTTAATGGTAATCTATAAGGGTCTCTAAAAGCCTCATTATGTTAGTTACGAAAAGATCCAATGGTCACATGTTGAAAGCTCATCCTAACAAAGGAATTTGGGTCAGTGGTTAACATTTATCAAAAAAAGTTTTTTGGTATTTTGAAAATATCAAGTGGGGTGGTTTCAGGTCACTTTTCCCAACCTTGTTTTAGAAAAACTCAGCCTATTCCCTCAGACCCTCTGCTTTCCATTTCTGACACTCCTGTTATTCTCTGGTTTTAGAGGAAAATCTGGGATTTTGTCCAGAAAGTTGAGTTGTCCTGAACAGCCTAGATAAAACGTTAAAACATTAAGACTCAGCTTCCTTTCCTGAACAAATAAAAAGATAGCAGTGTTTATTGTATATATACATATACCTCTACTTTTCACTTGGAATATATAATTAAAGTGACTCATGAGATGTGGAAGACAGGGCCATCCCATCCCACTCAGAAACATATCTTGAGGCAGGGGAAAGGAAACTGAAGGGTTTTAGAATGGGTGGTATTTGACAAAGCAGAAAGTCTGAGTTCCTGTCCCATCAATATGCAACAGATACAACATCTAGATAGAACAATGAGAATGGATACAGACTTTACAAACACCATGATCTGGGAGTGGGAGGACGGAGAAAGCATTTGTCAGGTTTGCCGTTCATCTTCGTTTGGGGACATGATAGTACAGAAGGGAGGTAACAGGTAGGTTCATATACTATTTAAATTGGCTTGCTGGCCATAAATGAAAGATATGGAGCTGCAATTGATGAATGAATGCACTGAAGAGTAAGTACACTTAGAAAAATAAGAGGTATTTCTACTAATATTTTAGTGTTAACATTAAAATTGGGAGTACAAGGATTATAAATTCAGAAAATATTAATGTCCATGAATGGCTCATATTTTTACCTAACAGATGGCTGGGAATGGAATAAGGAAAGTAACTTTTGTGAAATCACAACCCTTTCAAAATCATGTCTGGTAACATGATCTCGCTCGAATGATTTGTTAACAAGTGCTACAGAGGTCAGTGAAAATATTCTCACAATGACTGGAAATTCAAGCATCACACAAGCACAAGCTTTCTTTTCACTTAAAATATAAAAATAGAAATTGTACAGGAATTTGCATATCTTTGACAAAGCTAAAAAGAAGCTCTCATTCTCACAGAATGATGCCCTATACTCTAAAACAATTCCATACTGGGTTGCTTGTAAAATGAATGTTCTAGCATCTTTTCTTGATGTCACCTAAAGTCTGATCACTTAAATATTAACTCCGACTCTACAACCTTGAAAGCAGACTAACATACAAGCTTAACTGCTGATTACAGGAGTGGGCTATTCTTTTTTACTGGTATATCCTCCTTTAGCTTTGCCCAATAAACCCATCTTCCAGTCCAAATATTACCTAACAGTTTGAAAGAACATCATATTCTACAGGAACTTCAAAGGGTAAGGATGTTTCCCTCAAAAGAAAATTGAGGTGCTTACCAAAGGGAAGGGCAAGAGAGACAGGCATGTGTGTCACTCATCTCTGCTTCTCCACTGTAACCTAGCACTGTACCTGGCACAAAGGGACTCCTGAATAAAAGTAAAATGAGAGAATTCAATCAGATGGCTCAGAGGTTAGGACTCTTTCTGCATCTTCAGACTCAACATATATCTTTGGCCCCTACTTACATTTGACAAATAGAGATTTATCTTCTTAAATAGTTAGAATCCACCTGTTTCAGAAGGGGAATTTTATCATTTCAACCTATTGTCTCAGTATAACTGGATAACCTCATCCCACTCAGAAATAGGCCAGATTCCATTGGGCTGCACATTGGGGGGAGAGCGTTTCCAGTCCCACGTCTTCACAGGAATCTTCCAGGTTTTACCATAGTTGGCTTCAATGTATTCAGTGGTTTCACAGGGCACATGAACCTTCATGTCTACAAACTCAGTCCAGCACAGTGTAAACTTGGGAAACAGGTATCTGTGGCAAAACAGAGGCAATGTGCAGAGGGATGAGACTTAACAGAAGTCCAGTCTAAGGAACCCAGCTGCTAGTGCACTCGGGATTGAAGGAAAATTCTCTCCCATTAAATAGCTTTGGGGACAAATATAGTGGACATTTTGTTGTTTCTGACTGTCCAGCCTTCCCTTCCACTTTTAATGTTTTTTTTTTAATTTTAAAGATTTTATTTATTTATTCATGATAGACAGAGGGGGGAGGGCAGAGACACAGGCAGAGGGAGAAGCAGGCTCCATGCAGGGAGCCTGATGTGGGACTCAATCCCGGGACCCCAGGATCATGCCCTGGGCCAAAGGCAGGCACTGAACCGCTGAGCTTCCCAGGGATCCCCTCCACTTTTAATGTTGACAGCATCCCCATTTCCCTGTCCCGATGGTTCAGGAAGGGCTGACCCCACCCCCTCTCTAGAGATGGGTAAAAAAAAAAAAAAAAAAGACCCAGGCCTAACTAGTATATTATATTATTAGTATATTATAGTGATTGGATCAGGGATGGGAATATACACAAATTAGGCAAATAAAAGTCAGCTTTGGGATTTCCACTGGAACTACTGGAAGAAAGAGGCATTCCTTCTGCTGAGGTTTCTAAGCCAGTGGGATGGAAGCTGAGCATCTTTGTTATCTATTAGCAAGAAGAGCCTGAAGATGAGGTCAAAGCAAAAAAGCTCCCAAACGTGGAGAGAAATGACCAGCTGAGAAAACCCTAGAGAAGGACTTGGATTTGGCTAGAACCATTCCTTAAATATCTCAGGTAAGCCAATGAATATATAAGTATTTTTTTAAACTACATTTCTAATATTTGAAATTCTTCATACACAGAGGGAGGTACATATAGCAGTGAGAAAGGAAACAACAGTCAGCCACAGAACCTGAATCAATTCTGGCAATATAAAGACATTCTCCAACAACAGTACCACAAATGCTTGTGTCTTTGTAATAGGCCTTATTCACACCTGCATTCTGAGTTTCACTGTGGTCCTAGATAGCTTCTGATAACCTAGTCAGCTTAGAGAGCTAAAGAAGAAACTCTCAGGATCAGCAGGGTATTTTTCAAACTCCTTTGCTAACTCATACTGTAGCGAAAATTTCACACCACAGTACATGAATGTGGTAGGATGCACTAAGATCACTTTTTGGGGATCTTCACACCCCAGCCCCCTCCTCAAATGCAGAAAGAGACCTAATGCCTGGATGTCCTGTACTTGAACAATATTTCCCTTAAAGACAGTGATATGGACCACATTCTTTCTGCTTTTATTTTACCACCTGCCCCCCTCCCTTAAATTTCTGTTCTCAGCCACAAACTTACTTTCTTATTTTTAACAGTTCACACACCATTAAATCCCCATCAAATTCAAACTGACACTGAAAGAATCTAACTACAGAACACTGAAATAAGTACCACATGTGTGAGGTGAATCTTCTTTCTTTCAACGTGGACTTCCCAAGGATATCTAGCAACTGTGACTCCAAGATGCATTCCCAGGCTTCTGTCCCTCATATGAACCTACCTGTAGTTTCTGTCTTTCTTTCATCTCAGATGTGAAAGAAAGTCTCTACATCAGCCCAGGCAATGTTAGTTATAATGAATTTTACTCTATCTATGGTGGAACTATTTTAACTAGCAGATATGTTTAAGAATTTAAGCCAAATTATGTTTCTTAAAGGTACTCCAGATCAGTAAATTCAATTCATTACCAAGGAAAACTAAAATGAGCAGTTTCGTTAGACTTAAGTTTATATTATAACCCTATATTCTGTGTTGGTGTTTTCTGAGAAATGTTTCTTTTCTTCACAACATGTAAAGAACTTTCAGTAATGAGATTTCAAGTGGCAATAGCAGAGATCACAGAAACTTAAAATATCAGTGGATTAAAGAAAAAAGGAACAGGAAAGAGCCAGATGTCAAAGCATAATCATATTGTGGAAATAGGATCTAGCTGGGATATTCTCCAAGGAAAGGTCAGTTCTCATATATTCTGCTTTTAAATATCATGTTTTACCACCAGATGAACATAAAGCCATACATGAAAATGAGAGGCTGAACAAATTCTAAAGAAAGCAACAAGTCCCTTCTACCCAAACCAATGGGTGCTGGCAGTTAATAGACAATCCCAGCTGGCTTCTGTGAAAAGACGGCCACAGCAAATCTCATAGCTGAGGAAGAAATAAGATACAGCATAGCTCCACCATCTGCTGGTCCCAATTTTATTCTGCACACTCATATTCATGGAATTGCTTATTTTGTCATCAGACACAGCCATCCATCACCGGCCTCCACCCTCCCCTATCAGATGCTGGTCAGAAGAATGTCCACCTGTCCCATCCTATCAAGTGGACACACTCTAGTTGAAATAAAGCAGAAATTATGGTCTATCTTGTTACACAGGCCAGGAAGTTCTTCTCTCAAATATTAGCCTCTATAGTCTATCAAAGAGGTGAAAGAAAGAAAAATCACAGGTCCAGGATAGACAGGGTAAATGAGAATACTACAAATTTTACAGAAGCAGTATTTTAAACAATGAAATGTTCAAATGAACAAAACCAAAACATTAAAAGCACATAAACAATGTATAAAAATAGCACAAAGACGATTTAACTCAAATGTTCATTTTTGCTCCTAAATGGAAATATCCCTAAATCATTATGGTTTTCTTTTCACTAAAAAATTTTTCAGTTCAATCAGCAAAAAGAAAATTCCAGCTTCCTAGGAGAAGAGGAAAGATAAACAAACCATAAAATGTGAAAGCTGACTGTAAAATGGGACTGAGGAGAGGAAGGAGTCAGTGACACAGAATATCACATGCCATGTACTCTGCCCAAGTTACCAGTAAACAATGACTAAGACTAGAACACACCATGGGTCTGTGACATTACCTTACCTTAGCTTTTAAAGCAAAGATTAAGTTTGGCTAAGCAGTTTGCACTTTAAAGCTCTGGGACAGGATCCAGAATGGGAACAGATTTAAATTCACACTAAGGCAACCCTTATAAGTTTAAGGGATCTTTTCAAACACACAAAAAGCCTTCCATTCACATTTTCTATTTCATAGTTCGTTTACTTCATTTTATCTTTGCATAAAAGAATAATTAGAATTAAGACTTAGAGTTAAAAAAAAAAGAGCTGGAGTAGATCATTGCATTTTCTTCCTCACAGACCTCCTTACAATCTGTAAAACTACTTACTGGTTGCTGTATAAAGTAATCTCATCAGTTTAATTGTGCAACCTATAAACATAATTGCTAAATGAAAAACACTTTTTATTATTACTAGTTAGCTAGGCTAAGTGAGCGAGAGAGAGAGAGAGAGAGAGAGAGAGAGAGAGAGAGAGAGAAACTATCAATTACAACTGAATTTGACCTTTTTAAACATAAGCTGCATTAAACTCTGAGTTGGAACAGCAGAGCCATGTTTTTAAACAAGAATTTCCTGCAAAACAACACAAATGGTTTATTCTCATTACCAGTTTTGTCTCTGCTTTTAATTCTTAATTTCTTTTTCTTGTGTTATTCTAGTGCCTAAGCCCTCTAGCATTCTACTTAATAGAAGCAGGGAGAGTACATGTTTGGTTTTGTTTTTTTTTTCTGATTTTTGATAGAAAGGCTTAAAAAGTTTATCACGAAATATGATTGCTTCTTTTATGTTTTTAGTATATTCGCTTTATCCGGTTAAAGAAATTCTGAACTCTTTTATTCCAAGCTTGCTAAAAGGCCTCCCCACCCCACCCCCCCCTTTTGGTTAATTACGTAATTTATCAAGCATTTGCAATGTCATTTATTGAAATAATAATGGAGGGGTTTTTCCTTTAATCTTTTAATCCTTTAATGTTGAGAACTGCACTAATATATAAATACTACAAAATTTGATTCACTGTGTTTAAGGTATCCTCATCTGTGTTTGACAATACTGTAATTTTCCTTTAAAAATTTTTTGGCACTTTGGCACTGTTCAAGTCATTTTGCTATCAGTCTCATACAGTAAGTTGCTTAAAGCATTCTTTTTCTTTTTAAAATTTCTGACATAGGAAATATAGGGAATAATCTCTCTGGTAAGGCATGGTAAAACTTTCCTGTAAACTTTCAGTAGGGAAAAGACAGGGGAAGGAGAATTTCCATTATTGATTAAATTTCTTTCATGAGTATGGGTTATCCAGATCTTCCTGAGTTAATTTTGACATTTATTTTTTCCCAGAAAAATTTATCATTTTCACATTATACCTAATTATCAAATTATGACTTAACATTGTCCTTATTAGCATTTTCTTTTGAAAGTTGGTGTAATGAGTTAAAAACATAGTTTCTTTTTTTTTTAGCTGATTTTAAAATGTTTATTCTTTAAAAAGTTAGTTTCTTTTTACACTGCTATACAGAGTTCTTAATGTTTCTTTGCCAATGGAATATAACGGAATTTTACAACTATATAAAAAAGTTACCTTTGTTTAAGAAATGGTATTTACTGTGTGTACAGTTGACAGTATTCTCTACGACCCAGAACCCTAATTAATTGACGAAATAAGCTACCTCAAAAGGGATATTACAGGATTTCCCAAAAGAAAGATATAGACACACACAAGTGCGCACATACACATACACACACATACATACACTCTTCTGTGGCTCAAAAGACAGTATCACGGTCCCCTCTGCAGGGAACTTATAATTACCAAATACAATTTAGTGATAAGAAAAATCCTTTCAGTGATGAAAAAATAATTCTAAGTCCCATCAAAGTACTGCTGTAGTTTATGCATAAGAAATTACTTAACCATGAAGAGAAACAAAAGCAAAAATGAACTATTGGGACTTCATCAAGATAAGAAGCTTTTGTACAGCAAAAGATACAGTCAACAAAACTCAAAGACAACCTACAGAATGGGGGGGTGGAGGTGACAGGGTGACGGGCACTGAGGTGGGCACTTGACGGGGTGAGCACTGGGTGTTATTCTATATGTTGGCAAATTG